TGGCTCGGCCTGAGGGCGGGGGCCGGCAGCAGACGGCGCAGCCCTCCGGATGTCCTGCGACGCCCCACCGGAGCGCATCGCGGTCGCCATGCGGTTGGCCAGCTGCGTCAGGGCCGGGGCGTTCTGGCGCCTGCCGAGGTCCCGCACGAAGCGGACGGCCTCGAAGTGCGCGAGCTCCGTGCCGGAGGAGAGCTGCAGGAAGGCCTGCTGGCTCAGGCCGTAGGACAGGGACTCGGCGCCGCCGGTGTTCTCAGAGATGACCTTCTTGGCCTCCGCGAGAGCCTTCAGCTCCTCCGCGCGGCTCTTGACCTCCGCCTCGAAGGTCTGCGCGGTGGTCATGCAATTCTCGTGCAGGTCGCCCAGCTCCTTGACATCGTCCGCGAGGTCCTTGGAGGTCACCTCGAGGTCACCCGTGGCCGTCGCCTTCTTCTCGTTGGCGGCCGCGATGCCCGCCTTGGCCTCCGCGAGCTCCTTCTTGCCGTAGGCGATCTCGTCCTCGATGGACTGCTTGAGCTTCTCGAAAGCGAACAGGTTCGACGTCTCCTTTGGGACGGCAGCAGCTATCTTTTTTCACACATGCGTCTATCAAACACATCGAAGGGCATCTGCAAGCTGATGCTGCCAGAATGCGCAGGGGAGTCCCGAGACCCCCGATGGCCAATCTGTGATCGGCGAGCCAACGCGGGAAGCCTTGGGCTGCGCAAAGAAACAAAAGCAAAATGAGAGCGTCACTCTCCCCAACATACCCTGGCTGGTGAAGACGGCAGCAAATATCGCAGGTCGGGGTGCGAGAACGAGACGACCACAACCAGGAAATCGTGTGGCGCACGCGAGCGGGACGGCGCGGGCACGAGAATGTGCTGGCCGAAGTTAGGGCCAAGTCGGACAAGAAAAACTCCTTGGGCCTCGCGGTGCCCATCAGGCTGTCCCGTGGGCTGCCCCGTGGACTGTCCCGTGGGTTGTCCCGCTGGATGTCCCGTGGTTTGTCTCGCGGTGTGTCTTGCAGAGTGGCTCATGTTTGTCCCGTGGGTTGTCCCGAGGGGTGTGATGGGCTTCTTCCGTGATTGCTCATTGGGTTGTCCCCCGGAGTGTCCAATGGTGGTCCCATGGATTGTCCTGCGGATTGTCCCGTGGGTTGTCCCATGTATTGTCCCGTGGGTTATCCCGTGGGTTACCCTGTGGGTTGTCCCGCGGGTTGTTCTGCGGTTGTCCCGTGGGTTTTCCCATGTGTTGTCCCGGGGGTGTCCCGCAGGTTACCCCGTGAGTTGCCCCGAGAATTGTCCAGTGGTTGTCCCGTCCCGTGGGCGTGGGTTATCTCGTGGCTGTCTCGCGGGAAATGCAAGTCAGAATGCAAATCAGGACGCACACCAAGATGCAGTTCAGACATGCAACAATGCACACCCAAAAGGATACGTACGAAAACTTGCATACCTGTAGCTGCAGCGTTAAACAGAACACGAGATGGTACAAAGTATGGTAGATGTAGCACGGGGTGAAAACGCTACATCCGTAACTAGCCGAATATATTAACAGACTACAAATCAAAGTGCGAAGATAGGTAGAAAGCACCGAGACAGCCATGTGCATGAAAGGAACACATCTTATAACTCACAGATTGAACAAAATAGAGGATATCCATGTATGTGTATAGATACACGTGCGCATGATGCAAATCGATCTGCAAACCTAGATGGAGGTCGGAAAATTGGCATGGTGCGTGCGTGTGCTAGTCGCAGATCATGAGATGAGTTATCAGAATGCACTGCGACGTATGTGTAAATGAACATGTAAAGATATGTACCGAAAGCGTGGCGTATCAAGTGAAGACAAAGCTGACATGTGCACCTATATACAGATAAGAAAGACCGCGAACAGTACGATTGATATATGAATAAAGCAATGCATACACGAGCCATCTAAATCGATGCATGTCTGTACATACATGTATGCGCGCCTCTCTGGCATCGCATGTTTCCGTGTGTATATTTACGCAGTCGAGAGGGCTAGAATACGTAGACAGTTCAGCAACATTAGAAGAGTGAGACGGGCTTGAAGAGCTGGGAGAGTTGACCAGATTGGTGATGTGAAGCCGAGCAGAAACCGAATGCTGTATCCATCCCCCCTCCCGAACCTCCTTATCACCCGATGGGTGGCGCAGGAGGTACACCGACACCGATTCAGGCCAGGCCAATCCCGAGCCCAAGATCGGGCTATACCGAATCTCCTGGCCTACGCAGCACGGTGCTTGCACCGTCAGGCCCAGGACGGGCCTGGTCGGGACCGGCGCGAGTATACAAGCTGGCGTCGCCCGATCCTTGTTCTGCGCGTTCTTCAGGGAGGCCTGCGCCTTGTCGAGCAGGTCCTGCAGGACGTCCACGATGCCGCCGCTGTGGCCCTCGTACACGGAGGCGCTGGGGGCGCCCTCGTTGTCCCCCTCGGCGTCCTGCGACTGCTGCACGAGTGCCGTCAGGCGCTGGGCGTCGGAGGCGCTGAAGCCAGAGGCCTGCACCATGACGTGCAGGGCCTCCACCAGGCTGGTGGCGCCCTTGGCCTGCAGGAGCGAGGCGCTAGCGTGCTTCTCGAGGATGCCAATGGCGCGGCTCAGCGTGTCGATGATGTCCGCGAGCTCCGCTCTCTCAGCCTCGAAGGCCTTGGACTCGCTCCCGCGGATGTAGCTCGACGCCTTCAGGTCCGCCTCGTCGGTGGCGATCTGCTGCGCCAGATCCTCGGCCTTTGCCGTGAGGGAGTTGACCATGGCGGTCTCCTCGCTGATGATGGCCTTGAGGTCCTGGATCTCGGACTTCGAGGTCTTGATCTCGAACGCCAGGTTCTTGTTGCTCTCCTCGCACCACTCGGAGAACGACTCGTACACCTTCTGCGACGTCTCGCCCTCGCCGATGATCTTCGTCTGCAGGTCGGAGATCAGCTCGAGCACCTTCCCGATCGGGTTGACCTGCTCAGCGGCCGCCCTGGCAGAGGCCAGCGACGCGGCGAGGACGAGAGCTGCCACTGCCTTCATTGCGCGGGAGCCCGGCAGGGTCCGGTAGGTGGGCGAACGCTGCTGAGTTGGCGCCTCGAGCCGGAACGGCGACGGATAGACCCCCTCCTGTGACGACGAGGACGATGACCACATGACTGTGACGACGGCGCTGTCGTCATCGCCACCGTCATCATCCACCTCCCCGCCCCACTGCCACCCCGCGACCCCTTCGGCGGCAGGTCACGGGAGCCTCCCATGCCATCTTGTGGGGCCTGACGACAGCATACCAGGCTCCCATCACTTGCTGCCGACACACAAACAAACACACACACACACACACACACACCTCGCGCTCAGGCCGTGCCTGGCTCCAGCCGCACGCCCGGGCCGCCCAGGCCGACACCGGCTGCCGCCCGAGCGCCCGCCAGCCCGCGCTGCGAGGACCCCGCGGCGGCCGGGCGGCAGAAGCGCGCCGCCCGAGCGGGGCCCCCGAGCGCCGTCTGACAGCATCTCCCGTGGCAACTCCTGGGAGCCTCCCATGCCACCTTGCTGGCTCTTGCGAATCGGCGCGAGCTGGCGCTAGTCGACGCACATCGGAGCTAAGTCAGCGCCCTCGACACAAAATCGGCGCTCCCTCATCGACCACCGGGCGCGCTGGGGCACGCGAATGCACGCTAAAGACGGAGCTGCGAGGACATACCAGGCTCCCAGAATTTGCTACCGAACAGCACAGCCTGCGTCGCCAAACCTCGCGCCTGTCGCGCCCTCGCGCCGCTTCGGTTGCATGATAATCGACCCCCAACTGACAACTCTCTTTCGCTAGATCGTCGTGTCTCGGCCGGGTCTACATCGCAAAGCGGGGGGGAGCTGGAATGGGCATGCCACTCCCTGACAATCAAAGGGGCCCTCTCACGCCAGGTGCCTCCGCACGCCGCGCAGCGTCTGGTGCCGGCTCAGCTGCTGGACCAGCGCGGCCTCGCCCTCGAGGATCTGCAGCGCCTGCCGGAGCCCGGCGATCTCCGCGGAGCGGCGGCTGACGAGCTCGGCATACGTCGGCGCGGTCTCGTCGCACTGCTCGTGCAGCTTGGCCAGGTACTTCTCGACTGCCTCGAGCTCCGTCTGGACCCCAGAGCGGTCCGACTCCGCTTCGGCGGTCGCCTTGTCCAGGTCCTTGGACTCCTTGGTCTTGTATTTCGCGTCCTGGGTCTTCGTCGCGGTGGCGATCTCATTATCCTTGGTGAGCTGCTCGTATTCCGCCTGGGCGCTCTCTTCGGCCCCCGTCATGTCGGAGAGGCCCTTCTGGAAATCCGACTCGATCACCTCGAGCAGGCCGATGATTCCCTGACCGGCGCCCTCGGCCGCCGAGTGTTCCTTGTCCGACGCGTAGTACTCGGTCAGGACCTTGAGCGCCATTTGGATACCCTTGATGCCCTGCTCCATATCAGCTTTGTTCTTGACGTACGCAGCGTTCTCCTCGGCGCGGATCTTGTCCATGGTTGCCTGCTCGGTGGCGATAGTGGCCAGCTCCTTCTCCAGTGTCGCGATCTCCTCCTTCAGCTGCGCGGAACGTGCCGACATCCCGTCGATCGCGACGGTGAGCTTCTCGATTTCCGCCACGCGGTCCGCTTTCTTCTGGTCAGCGTAGGCAAGCTCCTTATCACAATAAGCCTTGTGCTTCGCGTCGGCATCTGCCTCTTTCTCGAGGCGGTCGATCATGTCAGCGATGAGGCCCTTGACTTTGGCGAAGATCTGCGGGCTCCCTTATTGGGACGCAGGGCTGTGAGACCATACTGGGCTGTTGCACTGTTGTATGTGTTGTGTGTTGTATGTTGCTGCACCCCCGTTTGAGTGTTACCATATGGAAAACACCAAGGGGAGAGGCTTAGCCTCCTGGCCGCTCCACATCGCACAAGGTACCCCAGATGATGCCACCAGACAACGAAAGACCCAAGAGGCTTCCAGAATAGCCTCAGGACGCCTCGAACACGACCCTATGAAGCCCCAAGACGCCCCAGAAATAGAGAGAGATGACAAGGAACGCGCGCACGCACCCCACCCTCACAGCATGCTTGTTGTGGGCGGGATGCTCCTGTGCGCGTTCGTGATGCCCGTGCCCAGACCCGTACACCTGCCCTGGCCGCCCGAAACGAAGATCCCTTCTGTGGCCTCGAGCGTATCCGTGCGACCGCGTGTCCGCAGGATCGCGCCCCAGAAATCCAGACTACAGTCGGGGCGTTGACCTAAGGAACCCTAAATAAGGAACGAGGCTCCTTTTTTCCATAAGTTAACCTTCGATTTCCTGTCGAAAACGTAAGGAAAGCCTGAGGCAAGCTGTGAAACACTTAAGGAACGCGGAGCCCCTCCCCAACGAAAAGGGTTCCTCCTCCAGGGTCCCGACTATACGAGAGCGCTGATACGACTGTGAGCCCCTGCAAGTCAGACTTCTGAAAGACCGGCTGGGGCTCGGAACTCCAGGGACGTCTGCGGCCAGGTGAGCCCCAGTGGGGGTGTCCGACATCCGAGCTGACAGGAGGGAAGCAGAAACGGCACAGACACAAACTTTACGAGATCTGCGCGGACCTCCGAGAGCTCACGCTGACACGGCTGCTTCTCATTCGACCAGCGTCGAGCAGACCCGCAGGGGCAGGGCTCGCAAGAGGTCGCTGGAACGAGATGGCTCGGCCTGAGGGCGGGGGCCGGCAGCAGACGGCGCAGCCCTCCGGATGTCCTGCGACGCCCCACCGGAGCGCATCGCGGTCGCCATGCGGTTGGCCAGCTGCGTCAGGGCCAGGGCGTTCTGGCGCCTGCCGAGGTCCCGCACGAAGCGGACGGCCTCGAAGTGCGCGAGCTCCGTGCCGGAGGAGAGCTGCAGGAAGGCCTGCTGGCTCAGGCCGTAGGACAGGGACTCGGCGCCGCCGGTGTTCTCAGAGATGACCTTCTTGGCCTCCGCGAGAGCCTTCAGCTCCTCCGCGCGGCTCTTGACCTCCGCCTCGAAGGTCTGCGCGGTGGTCATGCAGTTCTCGTGCAGGTCGCCCAGCTCCTTGACATCGTCCGCGAGGTCCTTGGAGGTCACCTCGAGGTCACCCGTGGCCGTCGCCTTCTTCTCGTTGGCGGCCGCGATGCCCGCCTTGGCCTCCGCGAGCTCCTTCTTGCCGTAGGCGATCTCGTCCTCGATGGACTGCTTGAGCTTCTCGAAAGCGAACAGGTTCGACGTCTCCTTCGGGACGACAACCAATATCGTTTGTTTGTGTACAAATCCGTCTATATAGATGCACTCGCAGACACCTGCAAGCTGATGCGACCAGAATGCGTCGGGGAGTCCTAGTCCCACGATGGCCAACCTACGATCGGCGAGCCAGCGCGCGTAGGCTCGAGAGACGACGCTGCGCGGGCGCGACAATGTGCCAGCCGAAGTCAGGGCCGAATCGGACAGGAAAAACCCTCCTCGGGACGAGGTGTCCTGGGGGATGTCCCGTGGCCTGTCCCGTCGGCTGTCCCGTGGGTTGACCCGCGGGATGTCCCGCGGGTTGTCTCGCGGGGTGTCTTGCGGGGTGTCCCGTTGTTGTCCTGTGGCTTGTCCCCTGTGTTGTCCCGTGGGTTGTCCAGTAGGTTGCCCCGTGGGTTGTCCTGCGAATTGTCCAGTGGTTGCCCCGTGGGTTGTCCCGAGGGTTGTCCCGAGGGTTACCTCGTGGCTGTCTCGTGGGAAATGCAAGTCGATACGCAAACCAGAGCGCAAATCAATGTGCAGCTCAGACATGTAGCAACGTACCCTAAGCATGATATGTGCACCTACCTAGGTTACTGTACGTACAGCGCTAAACAGACGAAATAGCGCATAGCATTGTAGGTGCTTCATGGAGTGAAGATCGCTGAAGAAGTAGCTGGCCGAACACATAAACAAACTGTAAGCCAAAGTGCAACTATATTTGCAAATCACCGAAACAGCCATGTCTATGACGGGAGCACGTCGTACGACTCACATATTAGATTCAGCCGAGTAGACAACTGGATGTATGCACACACATTTGATTATGTGTGTATCGATGGACAGACATGTGGATTCGCGTACATGTGCAAACGTGTGCATATACACACGCCAATATAGACAGTGCATCGGTAGGCAGACATGCATAATGCAGATCGAGGTGCAAATCTAAAAGCAGGTCGGAACGTTACATTAGTGTGGTACTTACGCGTACCGGTAGCCGATACTGAGATGTGTCATCAACATGCACTGCGATGTATGGATATATTTACACACACAGTTGACATACACATGCCCATGTGCGGAAATGTGTATATCGTAAGCGTGGCGTGCCAAGTAAAAACAAAGTGCATGTGTTCATCTGTATATCTATATAAATATACCTGTACATATATATATATATATACATACGACAGGCAGATGGTAGTGACAGCGGGCAGTACGATTGGTAAATGAACCACAGCGTACGCCATCTACACCGACGCACGTCTATCTATAACACGCGCTAATCAGACACCACATGCTTTCCATATGTATATGTATACGTACGCAGTCGAGAGGGCTAGAATACGTAAGCGGGCTTGAAGGGCTGGAAGAGTTGACCGGACTGGCGATGTGAAGCCGATCAGAAACCGAATGCTGCACCCTTCCCCCCTCCCGAACCTCATCATCACCCGATGGGTGGCGCAGGAGGTGCACCGACACCGATTCAGGCCAGGCCAATCCCGAGCCCAAGATCGGAGCACGGCGCTTGCACCGACATCAGGCCCAGGACGGGCCTGGTCGGGACCGGCGCGAGTATACAAGCTGGCGTCGCCCGATCCTTGTTCTGCGCGTTCTTCAGGGAGACCTGCGCCTTGTCGAGCAGGTCCTGCAGGACGTCCACGATGCCGCCGCTGTGGCCCTCGTACACGGAGGCGCTGGGGGCGCCCTCGTTGTCCCCCTCGGCGTCCTGCGACTGCTGCACGAGTGCCGTCAGGCGCTGGGCGTCGGAGGCGCTGAAGCCAGAGGCCTGCACCATGACGTGCAGGGCCTCCACCAGGCTGGTGGCACCCTTGGCCTGCAGGAGCGAGGCGCTCGCGTGCTTCTCGAGGATGCCAATGGCGCGGCTCAGCGTGTCGATGATGTCCGCGAGCTCCGCTCTCTCAGCCTCGAAGGCCTTGGACTCGCTCCCGCGGATGTAGCTCGACGCCTTCAGGTCCGCCTCGTCGGTGGCGATCTGCTGCGCCAGATCCTCGGCCTTTGCCGTGAGGGAGTTGACCATGGCGGTCTCCTCGCTGATGATGGCCTTGAGGTCCTGGATCTCGGACTTCGAGGTCTTGATCTCGAACGCCAGGTTCTTGTTGCTCTCCTCGCACCACTCGGAGAACGACTCGTACACCTTCTGCGACGTCTCGCCCTCGCCGATGATCTTCGTCTGCAGGTCGGAGATCAGCTCGAGCACCTTCCCGATCGGGTTGACCTGCTCAGCGGCCGCCCTGGCAGAGGCCAGCGACGCGGCGAGGACGAGAGCTGCCACTGCCTTCATTGCGCGGGAGCCCGGCAGGGTCCGGTAGTTACGTCAGGTTCGTGCCGTGCCGACTTCGGCGTTGGTCTCCGACACCGCGGGGATCATTCAACCTTGAGCGATCGGCCGTTTCCAAAAACGTCCAAGTCGTTCCACGTCGAACGACTCTGGGTCGCCCGCGGCGTTCAAAGCCGGACGCCGCTGGCGGGGTCGCCGCGGACCCGACACGACGCGAACCTACCGTTAGGTGGGCGAGCGCTGCTGGGCGGGCGCCTCGAGCTAGGCGGGCGACGGACGGACCCACTCCTATGATGACGACGGCGACGACCACATGCCTATGACGATGACGCTGCCGTCATCGCCACCGTCATCGCCACCGTCATCATCCAGATCCCTGCCTCCTCCGCCTCCCCCTCCCCCTCCCCCTCCTCCTCCTCCTCCTCCTCCTCCTCCTCCTCCTCCTCCCCTCCTCCTCCTCCTCCTCCTCCTCCTCCTCCTCCTCCTCCTCCTCCTCCTCCTCCTCCTTCCTCCTCCCTCCTCCTCCTCCTCCTCCTCCTCCTCCTCCTCCTCCTCCTCTCCTCCTCCTCCTCCTCCTCCTCCTCCTCCTCCTCCTCCTCCTCCTCCTCCTCCTCCCATGCCACCTTGCTCTTGCGAACCGACGCTGATCGACGCTAAATCGGCGCCCTCGACGCTAAATCGGCGCTCTCTCATCGATCGCCACATGCAAACGCACGCGAATGCACTCTAAAGACGGAATTGCGAGGACATCCCAGGCTCTCATGGTTTGCTACCGAACAGCACCGTCTGCGTCGCCTAACCTCGCGCCTGTCGCGCCCTCGCGCCACTTTGGTTGCGTGATCATCGGCCCCCAACCAACGAAAATGCCTGCCCATGCTGGGTACAGTCTGACAACTCTCTGTCGCTATAATGTTGACCGCGGGCCAAGGTTACATCGCAGAGCGGGGGGGGCTGCGCAGGGACATGCCACCCCTGACAAAAACCTTCCCCCGATGTGTGGCCGCCGCGATCGCGACGACCTCCAAAACCGACCCCAAGGCTTGGTTCGGGGTCGGACATCGCGCAACGACTCTTTGGAGGCGGCTGGGGGGCCTGCCCTGGATGGGCCACCAGCAAAACCAATCAGGAGGGGAAAAGAGGCAGCTTGGGCAGCCGGTGCCCACCGGGAGGAGGCGGCCCAGAGGGGGCAGGGAACGAAACCCGAGCGCAACAGCGCATCTCCCCCTCCCCTCGCGGCCGGAACCAGTGATGCCGCGCCTCGGACTCCCACCGGCTCCGAGCGCCACCATCCCTGGGGAAGGGCATGGCGGCACAGCGTGTCACCGCGGCAGCCCTGGCGACACGCTACGCCCTGCGAGCGGATGGCGCGTCGCTGCGCTCCGCGGGGTGGGACGCTCGGGGGCAGGAGCGTGGATCGCGCGTCGTGCCGAAGTGCAGTGGGCTCCCGCCCGTGCATTCCAACAGACCGTGGAACTGCAGGGAAGACCAACAGTATCGAGCGACTCTCTTCGTGGCGAGCGCGACGGGCCCTGGGTCCACCTGTGTCCTACGTCAGTGTTCCGCCGTCGCTCGTCTGACCGAGGCAGGCAGATAGCTCCCCTGGCATGTCTGACCCATGCCTTCCTGAATCAGTGAAAGAACTAAAGGCGGCATGAACATAAACTGGTGGAGGTCCGCACGGAGTTCTTGGATCCACGATGGGACCCCGTCCAGCGCCGATCCGAAAGATCCACGCGAAACTCCGAGAGTTCATGATTATGCCGTGCTTGGTTCCCGGAAGTCTGGCCGAGGCAGATAGCTCCCCTGGGACGGTTGACCCATGCCATCCCGAATCGTAAACCTAGAGGCCTCCCATATGGGGTCCGAGCAAATGGGGTCGGAGGATCGCGCCGCATCGCCGGTGCATCGGCGATGCGTCAGGGGTGCGTCGGCGACGCAGGCATGGAGAACATCGGGCTCCATATCGAGCCGCACCGCCGACGCTGGGGAAACCGAAAGGCACCGATACCGCTACTCCTGGACCTCTCCCGGGGTGCGTGCTGACTAAAACTTCGAAGCGAATCCAGAGGTGGCGACGGGGGCCCCTCAGGAGGCACACAAAAGGGCAAAAACGAATGAAGGGTAACGAGATGAGTACCTGTTTCCTCCTCCACGATGCATCTTCGATGCGGCGCGACCCTCCGACCCCATCTGCTCCGACCCCCTTTTTACGAGGCCTAAAAGACCGCACACCGCAGACCACAACGGCGCGCCTTCCCCACTGCGGCACCGAGCGGGGTAGGCAACTCGGGCTCTCGCGCTCCTGCCCCCCCCCCGCGGCGGCGGGGCGCGATCCTTTGCGGAGGGGGGGGGGCACTACGAGCAGCCGGTCGGCGCCGCAGGCCGCATTGGCGCCGGGTCAAGGGAACCAAACGACTGCATCATAAGCATAAACCCTCGGAGGCCGGTTGCAGTCAGCGCGTACGAACATGATGCACGATGAGGATGCGAGGGCGTTGAAAACCATGTCCACACCTGTCGAGCGGGGCGTGACAAGGATGGACAGAAGGGAAAGGATGCAAGCGTAACGTTGGAAAGTCTCCTCGGACGGCTTCCGACGACCTTCGGCGGGTTTCGGCGCTCGTCTGACGGTTTTCGGCGGTTTCCTGCGGCCTTTGGCGGTTTCCAGCGGTCTCTGGCGCGAAAGCTGAATGGTTGAATTCAACCAGAGGTCCACGATCGAACACCAAAGCTCTGCGAAGATTTCTTGGCTCGGCGCTGGCCCGCGTCGACGTCGTTCCGAAGCAGCCGAAGAGCCCGTCAAAGGCGGCGCGACATCGGTCTGTCGCCTCGGCTTGCGACCGCCAAGGGCGAACGGAGGACCCCCGCCGAAAACGGAGAAAAAGCGGCGTAGACTTAGGTCGGGCGTTTCCTCCTACAGGAGGAATTTGGGGCAAAAATGGAAACAGCAAAGAAACACAACAAACAAACAAACAAACAAACAAACAAACAAACAAACAAACAAACAAACAAACACACAGAACAAACAAAGGAAACTCCGAAATTAGCCTGGCGAAGGACCCTATCGTACGCAGTTGTGAATACCGCAGTTATGAATATCATCTTCGCCCGCGCTCCCTATGGGGCCACGAACCGTGTGAGGGGCGTGCCGACATGCGTGGCGGGGCACACAACGCGAGCGAAGACGATAGGTCTGTGTGCGGGAGACTGAGAGCGAGTGAGTCTGATTGTGGATAAGTCTGCGCGCGCGTGGGTCTACGCGCATAAATGTCGACGCCCATGTCAACACGCCTCTCACGAGGATCGCGCCCGCTTCCTTCCCGTTTTTCTTCTCCCTCTTTGCCCGTGCACGCCCACGTCCCAGACTGCGGGCGCGGCGCCGCACGGAGTCTCCGCGACGCGCGCTGGTCGCCCCGAAAGGGTCCCAGCGACGCGCGCGGGTCGTCCGCTGCGCGGAGCAGAGAGAGCGAGCAGGCTGGCTCCCGCCTGGGATGCGCGGCCCGAAAGCGGTCTCAACACATCGAATACGACGAAAAACCGCAGAAAATCGAACGTCGCCGCCATGCGGACTCCGCCACTGGGACGCCGCCACGGACACCTTAGGTGGAGCTCCCTGTAGGGGGGCACGAAACGCTGTACTGGGTGTGGGTGGTAGATGACGCATGCGGGCGGTCCCACTGGGGCTGTCGGTGGAGCCCCCTTTATGGGGCCACGAAGCGCTGTACTGGGTGGTGGATGACGCATGCCGGCGGCCCCACTGGGGCCTTCGGTGCAGGGGCCACGAAACGCTGTACTGGGTGGTGGGTAACGCACGCGTGCGGTCCCAGTGGAGCCTTCGGTGGAGCTCCCAATGGGGCCACGAAACGCTGTACTGGGTGGTGGATGACGCATGCGGGCGGTCCCACTGGGATTTTCGGTGGAGCTCCCAATGTGGCCACGAAGCGCTGTACTGGGTGGTGGATGACGCATGCGGGCGGTCCCACTGGGGCTTTCGGTGGAGCTCCCCATGGGGTCACGAAATGCTGTACTGGGCGGTGGATGACGCATGCGGGCGGTCCCACCGAGCCTTCGGTGGATCTGAGGGGTCACGAAATGCCGTGCCGGGGGATGGATGACGCATGCGGGCGGTCCCACTGGGGCCTTTGGTGGAGCCCCCTTATGCGGCCACGAAGCGCTGTACTGGGTGGTGATAACGCATGCGGACGGCCCCACTGGAGCCTTCAGTGGAGCCCTCTGTGGGGCCACGAAACGCTGCACTGGGTGGCGGATGACGCATGCGGGCGGTCCCACTGGAGCCTTCGGTTGAGTTCCCTATGGAGCCACGAAATGCCGTGCTGGGTGGTGGATGACGCATGCGGGCGGTCCCACTGGGGCCTTCGGTGGAGCCCCCTTTATGGGGCCACGGAACGCCGTACTGGGTGGTGGATGACGCATGCGGGCGGTCCCACTGGAGCCTTCGGTGGAGTTCCCGATGGAGCCACGAAATGCTGTGCTGGGTGGTGGATGACACATGCGGGCGGTCCCAATGGGGCCTTCGGTGGAGCCCCCTTATGGGGCCACGGAACTCTGTACTGGGTGGTGGGTGACGCATGCGGGCGGTCCCACTTGAGCCTTCGTCTGAATTCCCTATGGGGCCACGAAATGTTGTGCTGGGTGGCGGATGACGCATGCGGGCGGTCCCACTGGGGCCTTCGGTGGAGCTCCCCATGGGACCACGAAACGCTGAGCTGGGTGGTGGATGACGCATGCGGGCGGTCCCACTGGGGCCTTCGGTGGAGCCCCCTATTGGGCCACGAAACGCTGCACTGGGTGGTGGATGACGCATGCGGGCGGTCCCACTGGAGCCTTCGGTGGAGCTTTATGTGGGGCCACGAAATGCTGTGCTGGATGGTGGATGACGCATGCGGGCGGTCCCACTGGAGCCTTCGGTGGAGCTCCCTATGGGGCTACTTCTGAGTGGGTGAAACGCAGGGAGGAAGGAGGAGGAAGGAGGAGGA